CCCCCCCCTCCAAAAAAAAAACAGTAGTCAGATGAGATGTTTCCATAGAATTCCATGCTAAGATTGAACTCAGAGAGCAGCCGCATTAGCTTCAAAACTACAGAATCGTCCTATAACATAACCTCAACCTAGCACAAGGTCTGACATTTCTTTTGTGACAAAGTAATAAATTTTATTCATGTGTGGGCACAAGGTCTGATGTTTAGCAAGAGTTCCAAAAAAAGAAAAACTTGTAAACAATTCATCACATGCATGCACATACCCACCATAAATAAACTGCAACTTCCTGTTCAATGAAAGTAGTCCAAGATATTCTTGCGAAAGCATATTGCTGCATGGGCATTCTGACACATACATATCAAATTGCCAAGGTACAAGAACTAGTCACAAATTTCAAATATTAAATATTTTTACACTTCTGACAGTATAAATCTTGAAGCAACTGACAAACGATGACAAGACCGTGGAAAATTGCTTGAATTGAAAGATAGAATAACATCTCTATGGAACAAGCTGAAAGTAGACGAAATCACTTATTGAAGATATATCTACGGTGCATCCTTATTGAAGAAATCTAATTGCTTCCATAAAGCTACTACAGGTGAGAGCTACAAAACAGATAGCTAGAATTAGATTGGTAGACCCTCTTGATTTCGAGCATATCTCATGATAGAAAATCTGTTAATCCCGTGTTTACACCTCTTAACTAATTGAAAAGAGAAAAAATAAATGACGAGACACTATTTAAATTAAATGCATGCAAAGCCGGATTAAAGAACACATTGGCAGAAATACAGATTAACATTACTGTCCGTAAAAGTTAAAAAAGAGTGCTGGTTACTCTCTTACTCTGCATTTTCAGGAACTTTTCCTGGATTTTTGTCCTTGAAGTCCACCAACTGAGCAAATAAGTAGGCTTCAGCCAGAGAGAAAAGGGTATCAATAAGTGCATAATCAGGTTCATCAAATGAATCCCGAAGCAAGGTATTGCCATAAGTAGCAACTTTATCTTCTTTGGACATCTCCCTAAATCCATGGTAAGCAACTTTCACATATTTGTGTCGGTCCATCTGTTACACGAGCAAGCAGAAAAGGAATAATATTTAAATAAGAAAGAAATGCAACTACAACCATAGCCGGGATGAAGTGAAATTAATGATTAAGACAGGAAACAATTACAATGTAAGGACAACGTCGCAACAAACCTTTAATATATTCCCCCTCTTTTTATCAAGAACCAAACCTCTGACCATATAGCTCCAATCAAATGACCATTCCAACAGCTACACAACATCCAACATGGTGAAAAATCTTCTAGTTATCACTTCAGACATCAGTAATAATGAAAATGAAATTTCAGATTCAATAGTCAAATAATCCGCCAGCACATACAATACATGAGCAGTGATTTTTGACGGCAATCACCATCCGTCAACAATTGATCCTAAAACAACCAACTGCTTTTACAGCAAGGACAGAATAAGGTTGGACATTCAATATCTAAATCATGAGAACGAAAATGTTCAACTCAACATTACACATAATATCTCACTACATGTACATACCAATACCACACTCTAGGTCATTACAAGTCACAATTGATGCTAATACACATATTACATGTCATTGAGCATAATATCCATAAAATAAAATGAATAATCTTATTGTGCCCGAGGAATAATTGAGAAAACGAACTAGCACATAGATATGTCTGATCGATTTCTACTGAGACTTTTCTATATAAAAGTACTAATAGTAATTTTCACGAACCTCTGGAGGGTATCCTAAATCGTAGACTAGCTTTCTGACGGTGCCTTCATATGCAAGAGATTCAAAAGTCTCAGGTTTGTATTGAGCCAGGGTGTAATCCATGTCAAAGCCAACCGCAACTATACTTTTCATGTTTAAAGACCTGTTGCAGAATATCTGCTTTCCTATGTCAATTTCACACCCTCCTTCGGGAGATGACCATATGCAGGATTGTTGACCACCATTGGCACCATTTCTCTTCTCAATCAGCGTCGTCCTGTTATCTACACTAGCACCATCCATTGTACAACTTGTATGTAACTGATCAATCCCTGAACAGTATAATCATAATGAAAATTAGCTAGTAGAGGATATTATATGAACTTGACAAATTCCATTAGTAATCTGAAAATTGCAGCATGCACGGGGCTTCCTGATCGATGCTTTAGGAACAGGAAAAGCAACACAAACTAACAGAGAGAACTCAAGCCCAAAAAAAGAAGAGTTTTTGACCAATCCAATGCTGGTTTCAATAAGACAAGGCCAAAATGTAGCCTTAGAAATGAGAGTTATAGAATTGGCACCCATGAAGAGTTGCATATCATTCTGGCCTTTGATCACAATCACTCAGTTAAAGCCTTTCTTCATTGATTAAAAATTCATTATGGTATTCATCAACTGCTATCTTACGTTAGTATTATCTTGTATTAAATTACATAACCGTATCATAATCATTTCTTGCACAAACACTGTAAACTAATAACAAACCATGCAGGGAAAGTAGGCGAAGGTACAAAGAGAAATTTTGAATGTGAATCTCAGCCGCATCTAAAATAAGTTTTCAAATTCCGAATGTCAATCTCTGTTATAACAGTAACAGACACCAAACTCATCGACACCAACCTTCTCAGCTTTCTTCAGGTAGAGGAAAATAGTACTACAGATAGTAACTTAGGCAGTGTAGGAAAGTAACAAAACCATGAGAAAGGAGTATACTTTTGAGTGAAGTGACTCTATCCTAAGACCAAAATCTTAGTATCTTACCTTTAATCACAATTGTAACCAACTCAAAGCACCAGATCTATGTCCCAACGTGTAAGCCTATACTCCAAGATATGCTCCAATGAATACCTATATTTCACCAAAGTGAATTTCACTCGTTACAATCGAACTCCTATTAATATGCACCAAACTCCAAATAACCTAGTAGTAAGTAAAACAGTCTATTCTGGATCAACTATTCAAGAAGCATAGTCTCATAATAGTGCTCGTAAGAACAAAACTAAGACAAGAAAGCGAGAGAGATGGATCACGGATTTTGCCACTTTGAAAGGACATCAAAGTAACAAAGAATTTTTTGAAAAAACAGCTTTCAACGGGACCTAATCTAGTTTCCCAGATAACAGAATCTATTCTGCTCCTTAAAAAAAATTGTTCAAGCTCATACCAGTTGCACAACCAAAATTCTCAATATTTTGAAGTTCCACAGACAAAATCAACTATGTGTTCAAAATGTGAAAATCATCATAATAACAAAACTAAGACTAAAAATAAAGTTCAAATGACAGATTATAAACTGAATGAATTCATCATTTTTAGCCTTAAACAAAGAAGAGTCAACTACCATGAAAAATGCCACACAACTCTAAATCCTGGGCTACAATGATTTTTTTATTGAGGTAAAAAGAGATTTGGCCATAAAGAACCCATTCCTACAGAATTAAGAAACCATTAGAAAAAATAAAATAAAAAAGGACCGCATAACACCTCAAGTAACAACAACAGCATGCTCTAGAAAAACAGTGCTGAGTTTGCTAATGAAAGTAAATATGATTAAATAGCTAAAGATACAAACTTACCCCTCGTCCCTCCAACACCCCCAAAAAAATAAAGAAAAACCCCAAAATGGCAAAACAAAGAAGAAGCTAATTTTGTTATAACCTAGAAATCCTTGAGGGCCAATACACAAGGTTTGAAACTTGGTGCATAATTGGCCCGCCCTCTATCCTTCTTAACTTAAATACCAAACCAGGCTCGTGGCGTGCCCCTAACCCACACATCACAAGCTGGCTTCTTACCACTATACCAAAGCCCTGCGGGAAAGAAGCAAATTCCTTTACTACAATCACAAACCCAGTTCAGTATTGCTAAAAACACCAATAAAAGTACGTCAAAAACAAATAATAAAAAAACAGGAGCAGAAAAGCACCAACCTTTACGACGAACTGGTTTCCCACTTTCCGGGAAATAGTCGGAACTTTTAGAACAAGGAATTCCGGAATGGAAATGGAAGCTTCTGGAAAGAGATGAAATGAGGTGGTGAGGAGGAGAGAACACAGAGAGACAAAGAGAAACTGAACGCTTCGGAATTCGCATCTTCGACTTAAATAGCCATTTTTGGAATTCAAAATTGGAAGAGAAAGTATTCGAAGTGGCTGTTACTGATGATGATGCTATTCTTATGCTTATAGGATTATTACAACAACTTGCCCCCTTCATACATTTAATTTAACATAAAGTATTTACGGAAGCGGATAATTCTCATTCTATTCTACTGTATATGTAACTTTTTTTTGGTATTTATGATTAGAAAAATGGTTGTTTGGATTACGGGAATTGCATTCCGTTTCCCATTTCAATACGGAATCGAATTCTTCTGAATCGTGAGTTTGAAGGAAATGACGTGACTATACGGTGTGTTGCCACGTGTGGCGGTTTTAAGTTTAGGGTTCCGACGGTCAGTCACCGGAGAGTGACACTGGTGGTAGAAGGAAGAATGGCGGAAGCGGCAATTTAGCTTAGGGGTAGGGATGTAGACCGGTGAAATTTTCACTGCCATTACAATTTTTGAGGCGACCGTTTTTTCTGCTACCTAAATTTACCGCGGTAATATTCTGTAAGAATATTTCTTTTCTATTTTTTATTTCATTACTGCATATTCATCCTGAGTGATTAAACGTACTAACAATAAGGGATCCTTTGGTAGGGTGTATAGGGAAAATAATAAATGTATTAGTTTTAGTATTATTAATTTTTTATTTTTTAACTTAATATTAGTTATACACTATATTCGGTAGGGGTGTTCATGATTCGGTTTGGATAGATTTTTCCCTAAAAAGAAATCAAACCAAGTAAGTCGGGTTTTCAAATATTAGAACTAAACCAAACCAATTAAATCGGTTTTTTCTCGATTCGGTTTATGTCGGTTTTTCGGTTATTTATCGCTTTTTTCTTAAATATAAGACATACACTACCAAACACACATTTCGGCGACTATATTTTTAACGTAACACTATCAAATCAATTGCCCTTTGAGAAATCTATTATTTACCAAAATATATTGATGATAATTGAATCAAATACTGATGAATAATTTAAGGACTCAATTAAAAATATATTATTTTTAAAATGAAATAGATTCTTACACTTAACAAAAGAAAACTACCAATTAAACTAGAATGTAAAGGTAAAGAACTGTACTAAAAGTGCAAACGATTAATATTTACTATAAAAAATTTAAAATTTTGTATAAAAGTATACATATATATAGGTGTAATAATAAATTTAAAATGCCTACTCCTATATTCGATTTGGTTCGATTTTTTTAATTAAAATAAAAACCAAACCAAATTTGATCGGTTTTTAAATTTCAAAACCAAAACCAAACCAAACCAAAAAGTATCAGTTTGGTTTGGTTTTCGGTTTGGTTCGGTTTTCGGTTTGGTTCGGATTTTCGGATTTTTATGAACACCCCTAATATTAGGTATTGTTCTTAGGTCATCTCCAACCTTCCCTCATTTCTCCATAATGGGGATATTTTTTGTCATAATGAAGCTCCAACCCTCCCCCATTTTTGCCTCCAAAATAGGGATGAATTGTGTTCCTCCAAATATGCGGACACTATTCATCTCGCCCATTACTATTCATGTATATTTTATTATTATTTTTATTATTTAACTCTTTTAATTTATCTCTTTATATCTACCTAATTATGTTTATGTAATATCTTTATAATATTAATTTTACATCTTAACTTTGGCGAATATAAAATATTAGATGTTGCTAAAATTGAAAATTGAAAATACATTAAATTAAAATACATAAAAATTGAAACTACGATAAATAGCATATATTATTTAAAAATTTATGGTATAAAATAATTTTATATTAAATTATATGTGATGAATATGTAAAAAAAAAGAAGAAGATAAATTGAATTAATAGAAATAAGAAAATAAAATTTAAATAAAAGATAATAATATAATATTGAAGAGAGAGAAGAATATAAATGGAATATTCCTTTTGGAGTAAAAAATGAAGTAATGGTTGTAGTAACTTTCCTGCATTTTGGAAGAGAAAATGGAGGTAAGGGTTGGAGATGGCCTTATACATAGCAAATAATGACATTAATAATATATCATGGTTTTTAATACATATATAAGAGTATATAAAGATAGAATTGCCCTTTCAAAACCTTTTCCAAATCCTTTCAAAGAATGTAGAGGGTATTTTTGTATTCAAATATTTTTTTCAAAAAAAATTGAAAAAAATTATGTAATGCATGTTATTTTTAATACACCAAACTAAATCGACGATATAAAATAATCTTAACATAACTAATTTCAGCATTACTAATACACTATATTCAATACATTCTTATACACCCTACCAAAGAGAAGTAGGCATATGTGTTATATATCTATTAGATTAGTGTAAATATTCGGTGCGAGTAAGTGTTTATTAAGAAAAGAGTTTAACCATGAAAAAATTATAGTAAAATAGTAAATGTTTCTTTATGCTTACTTAGAAATATTCATATTCGCGCTTTGAGAATATAACCAGAACACTGGAGGATTAAATGAAGAAAAATAAAAGTTTGACTCAATTGGTAAGAAATTAAGATATCATCACATTTTTAATGGAGAGAAATCTTATAATGAAGAAAGTTTTAATCAATAAGAGCCTTTTTGGAAAGTCACCTTGGAAATAGATTTGGGTGTAATTGGGTGTAATTACACAGTTTGACATATTTGTTTGGCCAAGTAATTACTTGGTTAGCATGGAATTGAGTGTAATTGTAGGGGTGTAATTACACTCTCCAATTCTCAAGGGGAGGTGAGAATTGGTGGTAATTACACTGTGTAATTGTAAGGTTATTTTTTAGTTTCTTTCTTTTTTGTTTTTATTTTAATATATTTTTTATAACTTTTTATTTCTTTTATTTTTAATTTTAATTTTAAAATATAATTTTCTTTGGACATTATTTATTTTTTATTTCTCTACCTTTACTTCTTGTGATTCCATATAATTGCGTATATTTTATTTTTTTATTTATTTTTATTATTCTTTTTTTTGAAACTATACCTCCTAATATTAGAAATAATCAGTAATTAACAAAATTGGCATATAATGAGTGATGGAATTTCGTTGTTGAAGTGGTTATAAACTTATTATGTTTCCTGATCTTAAGTTGTGGTGGAACTTACTATTATTATGTTGGAATTTGACATATGTTAAACTATTATGTTTTTTGAATTTTGAAATTGTGTTATATTCATGCTTCCAATTTACTCATTTTAGTAGTATTGGCTCATATTGCATGTTGTTCAATTTTTAGTTAGAATTAATAGATTAGTTTTGTCAAACATTTGAATAATGTTATGACATATTTATAAATATTAATTTATTAATCAAACATAAATTCCACGATGTTCTTATAAAATATATATTTTTAGTTTTGTAAGTTTCTAAACTAGATATTATTAACTTGAAAAATATATATATAAAAAGTATTTTTACAATACTAGTTATAAATATACGATTACTAATTAGTGTATATTTACGAATATATATATATATATATATATATATATATATATATATATATATATATATATATATATATATATATATATATATATATACCAAATATAATATCATTTATACTTATAAATATTTTTGTGGCATATATTTATTTTATTAACTTTTAATAATTACTTTATTTAAAATTTAATCTAATTGTGTAATTACACTTATGCAACCAAATAGTAAACTTGTAATTACACTATAACTAACAAACAGGTCGTCGTAATTACACAACTATGTAATTACTAGGCTGTAATTACACCAATTTCAATTATTTGATGGCTTTCCAAATAGACCCTAATAGTATTCTAACATATCTTTGGTAATTGGAGGGAAATTTAAACTTAATCACCAAATCACTAGAATCTTCTTTATTGGTCTAATCATTCTTAATCGTCCACTTTGCTTTTGGCTTAAGAATTACTACTATAAATTACATTGCATTTATTCACGTGCAGATATTTAATCAAATCAAGACCATTCGTTTCTTATTTGTCATTTGTCAAAACAATTAGCATCATCAGGTCGTTGTCTAAATAAAAACAAAGGATTTTTACAAATTATACTCCATTATAGCTGGAGTGACAATGCATGTTTCTTCATGGGAAAGAAAGATGCGTGAATTAGTTATATACAGAACTTATTGACTATAGAAAAAAGAACTTTTACCAATAACCATGTTTATGAATTAAAAGGAGCGAATAATACTGAATTATTAGGTGATTTTCAACCCGAGTGGACTTGAGTAGATACAAATCTTTTTTTCTGTAAAAACTTTTAATTTAAATTTTGTTTTCTAGACTAATAGCCTGTTTGGCCAAGATTCTAAAATCAGCTTATTTTGAGAAGTATTTTTTTTAAAAGCGCTTTTCAAAAAAAGTATTTTTGGTGATAAGCATTTTGTGTTTGACTATTTAATTTGAAAAGTACTTTTGAGTAGAAATTAGTGTTTGACCAAGCTTTTAACAAGTACTTCTAAAATGTATTTTTCTTAAAAGTGCTTTCACAGAGAAACTACTTTTTTCTGTTTCTCCAAAACCGTTTCTGCTTCTCCTCAAAAATACTTTTTTTTCCCTTTCAAAAGCTTGACCAAACACTTTAATTTTAGGAAAAAATACTTTTGACCAAAAAAAGAAACTTTTGCCTCAAAAGAAGCTTGGCCAAACACGCTATAATGATATTAAAGAAAACATTTTTAACAATCTTGAGGAGAAATTTTCTTTCAAATTTTGATTTTGAAGAGCTTTTTTTTCCCTCACCCGATGTCCTGATATATATTTTGAAAACCCGAATTCATTAGGGACAAAGCGTTTCCTACCAAAAATAACTCTACAACAGCAAGTTGATACATATACATATATAGAAATAACTTTTAGCTTTACCAAAAATTCTCACATAAGTTGTGATTCCCTCCTTTGCTTAATCACCTCTACAATTTCATTCTTTACTTCACCTCATACTTACATAAAGCACATATCCCTTTCTTAAAACTAATGTGTTAGTATGTTACTCTTCTAACACCTTATATAGAATGAACACCAAAAACTTAAAAGTAGATGATCAGGAAGTGAAGCATACGAAATATTAGGAGAAAAGGAACATTTCAAAAATCGTAGCAAATCACCAAAATTTATGGTACCTTTCCTTCTCTGCTTTTACATTACAATCATCTACATTATAAGTAGAGTGAGGGTCCTTTATCGAAAAATTATATTACAATGTACAAATAGAGTAAAAATATTTTTAAAAAAAATTATATGTAAATTGTTGAATCCCCTTTAACATGAAGAAAAATTCATGTATTGTAGTGAAGGGGATACAAGAGTTGCTTTAGGTCGTTGGTTTAAATCCCAATTATGACATCGTATAATTTTTCCCTTGTAAACATTATGATTTCGCCACTGCTTGAGCGCTCCACGTATCTTTATTATGTTTTATCTATTTATTTATGTATTTATTTGATAATGAAGTCATTGATTTGATATGTATGTGAAGGGAAATCAAGTAAGTTATGATGAAACAGACTCAATATTGGTGGAGCCGTGGGGAGGCAAAGGTGGATTGGAGTGGAATTATAAGCTAAAAAGTCCTATTAAAGAAATAGTTATTGCTCATGGATCGATTATAGACTCCATCATGTTCAGAACCATTACTAAAGAAGGTACCATAGTTGATTCACCAAAGTTTGGTGGCAATGGGGGAGGTCGAAGAGACAAGGCAAGTAAAAAAATTTGGTCAAAATATTATTTTCTCATGTTTGGCATATTCTTCTCAAGTTAATTTTGTGTTATGTCACAAAATTAAGCTTAAGTTATGCACGTTGACAAAGTAATTTTTTTTAATTATTATTAGTGCAATTAATAAAGGCAGGGGTAAGGTCTGCATATATTCTACCCTCCTAGCTCGGACCTCACTTGTGAAATTATATTGAATTGTTATTATTGTTATTGTTGTTTTGTTGTTATATTATCAGTGCAATTAAATAGATTATAGTGGAAAACTCTATAACAATAACTATTTTAGTTGTTTATAAAAGACTGGAGAGGTATTATATGTTGATCGATTTGACCAATTATATATATATAGGCATCCTTCGAGTCAAAGATAATGAATGCACTTGTTTTTTTTAACTCAGGGATCAATGGAGTTCAGTTGAATCCCCTTTGTCAGATAATACATTGTGCAAAAAAGATAAAAGCATAATTTGGTTTTATATATAAGTTGTTACATTTTCTTAATATATAAGAAGTTTCTAATGTAGTGACGAAAGATGGTTCAAACTTGTTATAGATTATAAATTATATATTTTATGTCTGTGTGATAGATGTTCTTGCACTTTTTTGAATCCTTATCAGTATTATATTCCTGACTCTGCTACTTGTTTAACCAAAATATAATTTGCATTAATGTCAGGTTAATATTGAGGCGACCCCATTGGAATATTTGACAGGCATAAAGGGTACATTGGGACATTATGGCAGCAATTTAGTTGTAAAATCTCTAAGTTTTATAACTAATGGAAAGAATTATGGACCATTTGGGACTGAAGCTGGTGGAACCCTATTTTCGCTTGTGATGAAAGAAGGTGGAGCTATTGTTGGATTTCACGGGCGTTCTGGGTTGTACCTTGATGCTATTGGTGTTTATTTGCAGAAACTTACTCCTCCGACTTCGACAAAGGAACCTGAAGCTGAAAAACTTGAGCCGAATGAACCTATGGTTGAAAAAATTGAAATCCATGACGTACATATTACTTTTTCTCTTAATTTAAATCGGATAAATTTCATTTTAGTTATTACATTAAAGTAACTATAATTTACCCACTATGACAGAAAGTATACATGCCATAACAATAAAGTCATCGTAATAGGTAGGTTTAATCATTTTAATGGATAAATTTTAGTTACTATAACGTGTCTAAAACTAATTTAGTGGCTTTATTGTTACTAGTCTTACGGTACGCGCGTTACGCGTGTACCCTATATTGATGAAAATTATTTTTAAAAATATATAAATAACATTCAAACATGGTTTTAGTCCCAAAAATAATATTAAGTAAAAGTTTGAGTTCTTGAAAATGATAAATATTGATCATGAAATTAATACACATATAAAGAATTTTATTCATTTATTCATGACCTTTTCTAGTAATATTTATTTAAGTAACAAATTAAGTTAACGTATACAAAAGAATTTATTAGTAATTTGAAATTAGAATATCTTATGAATATTGCTTTTGTCTTAATAACCATGTATATTATGATTCGTTAGGTAGTAATCAATAAAAATGGACAATTAGGTTAATAATTTTATCATAATATTATAATTGATTTCAAAATTATAATTATTACGAAAAATAATTAAATGCCAATGTTATCCTCTTTGAAATTTATTTTTAAGGGTAAAAAAGTTTAATAATATTTCGCTATGAGACTTTGTGCTTTTATAATAGTTGATATATATATTGATTAAAAAAATATAACAACATGTATTCTGCTCGCAAGAAAGAAAAATATTGCATTCTGTCTATTAAAATGAACTTGAAAATAGCTTTTCAATTTTTTTAGAAATGCTCTTAGATCTTTAAAAGTTATGTATTCTTGCTAAAACTGAAAAGTTGAATATATAGAATTTGAATATACATCAATTTCAAAAATTTAAAGTTTTTTTTATACTCGAATATAACTTTTAGTAAGTATATTTACATATTGAGATTAGGTACACACGCAACGCACATAACATGAATTTTACCAAATAATAAAGTCTCCTAACCAAAAAGAAAATTGTGTGTGTGATTTAAGGCAAAATAATTTAACCAAAAGGATCTCCTAAACCTAAAAGATATTAACTACAAAATAAATGCATTCAATAATCCAACATAGGGGTGAAAATTTAGGCTAGGCAGAATTTTTAACTACAAAAAAGGTCTCCAAAACCTTAAAGCTATAAACTACTCCAACATACGTAGGGAGTAGAACGAATAGGAAAAAATTTAGGCAAAATTTTATTACCTTTCCTAGACGGTTAATAATAGGAGAATAATTAAATAGCTATTCCTAAATTATAGGA